TATATATATATATATATATATATATATATATAAGAAGAAGAGAAATGAATACCTTCGATTCTGAAACCAAACTTTGATCTGTTTAGGTTCAATATTAGAGAGAATAGGACACTCCCTAATAAGCTGTTGTCTTCTCAAAGAAGTAGGTTTTGGACATTCAGCATAAACTCTCTCCAAAGCTTCAACTTGTTCTGGTGTATACCTCACATACTTACCATTATCCATATCGTTTTTGCTTCCACTTTCTCCTCCACCTCCCCTCTGCAAACACAAGGCCATTAAAAAAAATCACAGGCTCTCTCCTCCAAGAGAACGAGAGCCCCCTCTTTCACTCATCAACTCAAAGAGAGAAATTATAGTGTACAGAGGAGGACAAGAAACAAGAAAAGAGAAGAAACCAAAAGTTAAAAAGAGTAGTTTTTTGTGTAGAGATAAAGGTGTATTACTCTACTCCTCCACTGTGTTAGTATCAATACTAATGCGTGGGTGGGTAGGTAGGTATAGACTGAAAAGTAGTAGTACAAGAAAAGAGGTGAAACAGTGAAAAGAGTAAGCTCTGTTTATTACAAACACTCCTGTTTTTGGCAACAAATGTGGTCACCTTCTTCTTTTTTTTCCTTTTTGTTTCATTTGGTATTCGGAATCTACAATAAAGTCTCGATTAAATTCAAATTGTGCATTATCAAATTAGGGGATAACGCTTCCAACAAAATTTAAAATAATGTATCTAACAAAATTTTCTACATATCTAAAATTTGAATTCACAACCTATAATTAATACTTCATATGTCCCTAATTACTTATCCATTTTTGAATTGACACATCTATTAAGAAAATAATTAATGACATAGTGAATTTACCATTTTACCCCTATTAATTATGAAGTAGATGAAAAGTTCTACATTTTTAAAAATAATTAGTCATTTAACGAAGGATATAACAGGTAAAAAGAAATGTCCTTTCTTGATTTGTTAAAATAGACAAGTAATTAGGAATAACTATAAAATAAAAAATGAACAAGTAATTATGGAGAGGGAGTAGTGAAAAAAATACACTCTCTCTCCAAACCCCATTTCCTACTTGTGTGTCCTAAGAAAAGAAAATACATATGTGTGAACAGTGTCAAACTTTCTCTCTCCTCTCTCCAAGCTATAATGATGCATGGCCTGGTTTGTTGTTTTTTTTCCTCTTTTTTTTTTTTATAAATAAGAAAATTTTCAATTGAACACCTTAATTAGTAAAAAAGTATATATTTTTAATTAGGCATTTTTAATTTAAATCTATAAAAAAACTGTGCATATTTATATTTATCTATTTTATAGTTGAGTTATTAATTATTATATTATCGCTTAATAATATGTACCAACCTCAAACAAAAAGCATTTTAGAATTTTACAGCTTGTGTATAATTAAAAAATGGCATATTTATTATAATTAATTCAACTCTCTAATAAATGAATTAAAGTATATAGAAAGAAATTAAGGTGTTTAATTTAAATGGAATTTAGAAGGTGCATGTAAAGACAAAGCACATGCTGCATGGAAGGCGTGAGAAGAGAGAGAAAAATAATATGATTAGCTAAATTCTTAAAGGATTAATTTCTTCACTTCCTTTTTCAATGGAAAAATATATAAATTGCAAATTTTAATTTGCTTTAAAAAACTATTTGTATATTTTAAATTTTTCTAGTGACCTCAAATTCTCAGTATGTACTCAAATTAATAAGCCCTCATTTGTTCACGTGGTAGGGAAAGTGCGAATCATTTTTCAAAGATAGACTAATTTTTTTATAAAAAAAAGGTTGAAGTAAAATGCAATATTTAGTTAGTGTTTATAATCATAGAAAGTGAAATAATTTTTGATAAAATATCTGTGGGTAAAGTTTCATCATGTATTTGGTTATAAATTTTTTAAAATAATATTAATATATTCATAAATGCTTATAAATTTGTATTATAATTGTTAATGAACATGTTTCTTGATAAAAATTAAAAATCGTAAATTATAATCTTTAATTGGCTTATAATCAATTTCACAGATTATTATAAGAGCTACGGAAGTTTTTCAGCTCAAAAAGGAACTTTCAATTTTTATGTTTATATTTATTCTAAATACATCATAAACGTAGTGTGTTTCTCAAACTTATCAAGTTTTAACTAATAAATGGTGGGATATTTTTTTAAAAAAGAAATTGAGTTAAATTTTAAATTTTTAAATGTTTGCAGAAAAAAGAAATTGGCCCAAAACCTTGTATTTTCTAATTTTTGAAAATTTTAATTTTTTATCAAAAATATTTGTGATAAAATGACAAGTTATATGACCAAATACTTTTTGTCATATTTTCCCCCTCAAAACTACTTTTACTTTTATAGTCAAATAGATCCTTAAAATTGACATGAAATTTCACTTATATATTTAAATTAAAAAATTTATCGTTTAAATATTTATAGTAACATTTAACTGTGTTTTGCTTGATCCCGTCTGCGACGATCAACTTGAATACGGAATAACTTAAATGGTCATTCAGTAATAAAAAATTTCTTTATCAAATTCACTTATGTTTATTTTGTGTTAAAAAATCACTTAGTTTGCCTACAAAGTCATTGTAGATAATTACATAAATTTTTCCTCAAATTTAATTTTGTTTAGCTTACCTCCTTTGTGCTTATGCTCCCTTTTTTGTGGTAATAATTTTAAAACAAATCATTAGTAAAATAAAAATTAATATGTTTTAACTAATTTGTTCTTTATGGCATATTTTTTTGTTTAATTAAATTTATAATAAATTAAGAAAACATTCTTTAATTTCCATCACCATTGCTATTCACTTAACATATATAAATATATCAAGATTTAAAATATATATTTGACAAGATTTTTTTTTTTCAATTTCTAAAGTTGAAATCTTGCCTATGTAAATTTTAATGATTTTATCAGAAAATTTATTCTAGTTAATAGCTGACTGATGATTACTGTAGTATAAATTTCACTTTCTTATAGTATATCAAATAGTGAGAAACCAAATTTTATACTATCAAACGCTTAAATTATTTTATCTTTAATTTGGATTAGATTACCTCAACTTTCAATTGAACATTGTGACTGAAGTATTCAAAAACAAATAGGAAGCAAGAAACAAAAAATATTTAAAATAAATGCATGTGTTTCTTTTTTATTAAGAGATAGATAGAAGATATATGTACTCATATTTGTGTTGAAGTATTTATAACTAAAATTTTCAAAGAGGTGATGAATAAGTATATAAATAAATATTTATATGTTGGGGTTATATATCCAATATAGGATAGCAAATGGATGAGTCTAGTTTAATGTTTGCCAAAAAGAAAAAGGGATCACATTAGTCTCAAATGAGGAGGAGGAAATGATTGTTATCAGGCTGGTGATAGGTTAATTAGTGTGTATGGATTATCGAAAGCTAAATGCAAGGATAAAAAAAGAATTACTTTTCAATTTTTTTCATGGATCAAATGTTAGATTAGTTAGATAGAAAGGATTATTATTGCTTTCTAAATGAGTGATTGGGATATAATCTGATTTCTATCACATTAAAAGATCAAAAAAAGACCACCTTCACTTGCTCTTATGGGCATTTGCATTCAAGTAAATGTATTTTGGCTTGTGCAATGCTCCGTCTATATTTCAAAGGTGCATAATGTCAATATTCTCTGACATAGTAGAGGATACAATGGAATTATTCATGAATGATTTCTCAGTTGTAGGGGATTCATTTGACGATTGTTTGGCCCATTTGACATTGTTGTTGCAAAGATATGAAGAAAATTTTTTGGTCTTGAATCGAAAAAAAGTCATTTCATGATTAAAGATGCAATTATCTTAAGCCATGAGATCTTTGAAAAGGGGATAGAGATAAATCAAATAAAAATTGAAATCATATCTAAACTACCTGCTCCAAGAATCGTAAAAGGTGTACAAAACTTCTTGGGTCATACGAGATTCTATTGGAGGTTTATCATGAACTTTTCAAAGGTCGCTCACCCCCTTGTTCCGTTGCATAAAAAGGAAGCAAAATTTGTGTTTGATGCAGAACAAATCAATTTTATCCTAGACTCGATAAATTTGGATATAGTTTGATGTAGTAAACAATTATTTGACTTAGTTATAAGAGAATTGACTTGTGCAGTGTCAAAAAGAAAATAAAAGAAGAGATTTTTTTTGGACCAAAGTAGTGTCGGTAAGGATATTTTTGGACCAAAATATTGTGAAAAAGTTAAAGTTGATTTTTTGAAATATGATAGGTTGTTCTAGTAATGTCTCTAGAATAGTCTAGGATAACATCTAGGATAATTATCTTAAAGAAATATCTGGATATCTAGAATATAAAGTTCACTAGATTTTCTTGTAGATGTTCTAGAAGAATTAGATATTTATAAAGAATCATGAAATAGTCTAGATTTTGTAGTATCTAGAATCATCCATAGCTAAATATAAATAGGGGATAGTATTGTACATTTGTAACCCAACCCAAGAATAACTCAAATCAAAGTCTTTTTCTATAACAAAGTTCTTTTATCCAAAATTCCTTCTCCCTGTTGGGTTATGAAGATGATTAGGACGTCATGCGGAAGCTTACAATTGCATATTATATGATTGATAAATTAAATAACAAAACTTACATTATATGAGCTCAACTTAAGCTTTTATATATATCATTTGTAGCCACATATGTCATGAGAAGACTAACAACCTAACTAGTGTTTCAATTGGGATGCCATATTTTATTTTATTGGGAATAAACAATAAAACATCAAGATTAGTCTTCACCGTTACATTAATTTCTACACAAAACAAAGATTTTAAGTCTTCTAAAACACACAATAATAACCTATTAGGTTTGATATTACACTTTAAAGCCTTGCTTTATTTTATTATTATATAAAGATCACTTAGCACATGATTAATTCGTCAACTCATTATTTTCATTTTTATTTCGAGATAGCATGGGATAAAATATTTCCTGTTGTATTCTATTGCATCTTCTTTTGTTATTAACCTCCCTAAGTATTTTTATTGTTCAGATAATTTTTTATTTAAATTTTTGATATCTGGTTTTTCGATCTAATAGCCCACTTAATTATGTTTCTTGTTGAACGAACATGTCAAAAGGTTCGTTATTCTCGAAACTCGAACTCGAAATTTATAATTTATGTATTCTAGACCTCTAGTTAATATGTAAAAAGATTATAACGCCATTGTGATTGAACTTATTCTCTATTTATAAAAAAAATATCTATATATGTCATGTCGAACATGTAGCTAACAACCACCACCAACTACTTCTACTACTAATACTACGTTTGTAACAATTGAAAGTGTTACCCACCACCATCCCTTCACCCAAAAAGATTCAATTAAAGAGAAAGGATAATTAGAAAAGCAATTGACTTTTAGATTTAATAAG